CAAAATCACAAGAGATGGCTTTGAAATCGACAAGGACTGCACCTGAGCACGCTCAGGAAGGTCTGGAGGCAACAACCCGCTCGAATTCTACCACCCTATTGACGGTTGACCTGGTGAAGGACAACCCAAATGCTTGCATTTCCTCCATGTTGTACAGCCTATTTGTCTTGTTTCTTTCTCTGGAAAAGATACAGCAGACCGATTTTCTTGGTCTACCTTTCCAAATCCCCACCAACAGAGTGGGAGCGCCAATCTACATTGACAGATGACTTGAGAGAATTGCATTCCATTCTTTCCTTGGAAAGGTACCCACAAAATTCCTCTGTATCCCAGGAGATATTCTTGCATCTTGTTTGAACATGACGCTATTCTGATCGCTCGTTGCATGATGCAGATCAAGGCAAAGTTTGATACTGATGAAGGTCTGAACTTCATTCAACAGTATCACATCAATCAAGGACTGAAGAAGTTTAGTGATGATGGAAAAGATGCTGTGGATAAGGAATTGAGACAAATGCTCCTGAGAGATTGTTTTACTCCCGAATTTGTTAAAGACATGACCGCGTCTGAGCGAAAGAAGGCCCAATCAGTGATGATGTTACTCGCGGAAAAGCAATTCAAAAAGACAATTAAAGGTCGCCTAGTATACCAAGGCAATGGAACTCGTGAATGGTTATCGCGAGAGGACACTGTAAGTCCAACTGCTTTGCAAGAAGCAATCACCACTACTTGTGTTATTGATGCACACAAAGGTAGAGATATAACGGCGATGGACGTACCTAACGCTTTCATTCAAACTCACCTGACACTTTCCGCAGAATCACTACAAGTCATGAAATGGATGATCAACGCATCTTTTGCGGTGCATCCAGATTTCAAGAGCCACACTGGCGGCACTCTGTCCTTTGGCGGAGGTGCAGCTCAAGTGATGTCGAAGAAAAAAAACTAAACTGTTAGAATAAAGCAAAATGTGCTCTATCGTGAGTGCTTTTAGCGCTCAGAACAAACTCTCTGCAATCTAAATTTGTAATCGACTGTACAACACTTTCACGACAATAGTTCTCCTGTGTCTAGGTA